GCTCGCGCACCGTCGTGTCCGCCAAATGGCGTGCTGTTACGGCGAGGCGTCCTCTCAGCGGCCATCGGCGACGCAAGGAGCGCATCATCTGCGCCCAGCCCGTGACCAATCCCGCGAGACATCCTCCTCATCCTTTTCATCCTCCTCATCCTCCTCCCTCTCCTCCTCCTCGGGCCTCCTCCTTCTCCTCGTCCTCCGCATCATCGTTATCATCATCATCAGCATCATCAGCATCATCATCGTTATCAGCATCAGCATCATAATATTATCAGCATCAACATTGTCATCGTCATCATCATCATCATCATCATCATCATCATCATCATCATCACCAGCATCAGCATTATGACCACTGTCAATAGCAACACCACCACCACCACGGTCGTCATAGTCGTCATCACCAACACAGCCATCACCATAATCAGAAGCAGAGTCTTCACATGATGATCAAAATCATAGCCACGGTCACCATCCTCCCCCTTATCAACATAATCATCAACCGCAGCAGCACCATCACCAGCAGCAGAAGCATCATCATCATCGTCATCATCATCCCAGCATCATCAACATCATCATCATCATCGCCAACATCCTCAACATGATCATCATCATCAGCATCAGCAGCAGCATCATCATCAGCATCATCAGCATCAACACCAGCATCAACATCATCAACGACATCAACATCACCCTCATCATCATCATCATCATCATCATAATCACCATCATCATCATAACCATCATCATCATCATCATCATCAGCATCATCAGCATCATTATCATCATCAGCATCATCATCATCATCATTATCATCATCCGCATCAACATCAACAACGTCATCATCATCAGCATCATCATCCACATACGTGTCGCTACCGTCACCACCAGCACCAACGTCATCAGCATCGTCAGCATCAGCATCATCATCAGCAGCAGCAGAAGCAGCATCAGCATCAGCATCAGCATCACTATCATCGTACCATGCATCACCATCATCATCAACAATATCATCAGTAGCATCATCATTATTATCATCATCAGCATAAACAGAATCGTCATCATCATCACATCCTCATCATCCTCATAATCCCCATCATTCTCAGCAGTATCATCATCCTCAACGCTGGCATTGCTGCGTGCTTGTATGTCGGCAGAATAGCATGATCACGCGCAAGCTTGCGCATGCACGCACGCGACCGAGATCGCACGCGGGTAAATCCTGTCCTTCCTGCTGCTGGTGCTTCCTCCTCCTCCGCCTACTCCTCACCTGGCTTCCTCCTCCTGCTCATCCGCCTCTTCACCCTGCTTCCTCCTCGTCGCCCTCCTCCTCCCTTGTCTCCACCCCCCCCTGGCCCCAGCGTATGACTTCAGCTACCCCCCGCCAGGGCCTGCCCCCCTCGGTCTGGTGTTAAGTCGGGCATGTCCCCCTACAGGGGGATTGCCGACGAAAAATAATAAATACTATGAAAATATTCCGAAATGGCTTTTTTTTTTTTTAGTACTCTGAAAATAATCCCCAGGCAATTTTTATACTATTTTTGAAAACTCCTCCTTTAGAGGGACAGGCCCGACTTAAGCCTGGTGCAGGGCCTGCCCCGCCCCACCCCGCCCCACCCCGCCCCACCCCCACCCCCACCCCCACCCCGAACACACAACAGGGCCCGCCGCGCCCCCGTCCGGCATCTTGGAGACCTCGATGCGAGCGCCGCTGTCCTCGCGGGGGGAGGCGCGCGCCTCCCGGGTGAGGACGAGCACCACGCCCGCCAGGGAAGCGATCGCACTGGATCCCGCAGCACAGCAGCACAAGTTAGACCTCGCCGAAGGTGAAAGCACTGGACGCCGGAGGCTGCGCCTGCTCGCCCCTGAGGGCGGCCCCGCGAGGGACAGGGTGGTGGCGAAGCGGTGCCGCGGCGCCGGGGCCGAGAGGGAGACGGGGCAAAGAGGAGGGTCAGGAGGGCGCACGGAGGACGCGAGACAAAGGAACATATGACGATGCTTCTGCCCATCCCTCGTCGCCGCGGCCGGACTCACTCCAAAATCCTGGCCACACCACACCCCCGAGAGGGTCACAGGAGTACCGGCAGAGGTATCTTCTCGCTCCCCCGAGATCAACGAGGTATATCAGGACGCAACTACTGGGAGGACTTCGTCGGAAGGATCCAGGAAGATTAAGCCCCATTGGGGAGCTGTTACGCCGGAGTGGGCCTCGGATTAAACGGGATTGGGCTGGATTAAACCGGATGAAGCGGGATCAAGCCGAATTAAGCCAGGTCAAGCCGGATTAATCCAGATTTCGGACCAGGGCAAATCATAATTTGACTTCCCAGGAGCTGCATCCGAAGGTATAAGAGGGAGGCGGGAGGCGGGGGCTGGGACCAGGTCTGGCCCAGACCCGCAACGTGCTAGGGCTGCGCATGCCAGCCTCAACAAGCGGAAGGCGCCGCAAAAGCAGCAGGGCTGAGGTGCTGGCGCGGTCGCAAAGGACCCCGACCGGAGAACAAACTGGGTCTGGGGCCCGTCTGCACACCCGCAAGACAGGCGGCGGCTGCTGGCGCGTTTTGGCTCGCGCGTCTCGGTGCTTCCATGGACCGTGACGCCGCCTTGGGGCACCTTCGGTGTGCAAAGTCAGAGCCATAATTGAATAATTGTTGTGGACGCTTGTGTTGTTTGTGAGTTTTTCTGTGTTTGTCTTGTGTGTGCTGCTGTGTTGTTTTTTGTGTTGTGTGTTGCTTGTTCTTTTTATGTTGCTGTGTTGTTTTGTGTTTTTACGTGGGAAGGATCTGCCGCGGTCGATCGCCCGGGGGGTTCGACTGCCGCCCTGGCGCGGATCGCCCCCGCCAAAGCCCTCAAAAGGGGGAGTTTGGGCGGGGGCATTTCCCGTAGGCGCCCCTGCTCGCCTAGGAGGGTGCGGGGGGTCCTGGATCGCCCGGGAAGGTTCCAGGACGGGCCGACTCGCCCCGGGGTGTGTCGGTCCGAGCGGTGGAGTCGCCCAGGGGGGTCTCCGCCGCTCCGTTCCCACACGAGTCGCCCGGGGAGGTCGCGCGCGGGAACAACCCTCGCGAATCGCCCAGGGGGGTTCCACGGGGGCGAGGTAGCCTAGGGGGCGCCTCAGAGGACAGAGCACAGCGCGAAGGATTCATGCGAATCTTTCGCGGGACTCTCGCGAATTTTTCGCGGGGAGCGCAGGGGGGGGGGGGGCGAAGAAGAGAGGAGGGGAGGTCCGAAAAAAAAGCCTCGAGGACCACCGCCAGGGCCAAGCGAATGACGGACAATTAGAGCAGGGAGCGGCTAAGAATAGAGAAGGGGGCGAAGGATAAGAGCCGGAGGGGAGCGCGAGCTGCGCAACGAGGAGCAAAAGCGGGGAGAAAGGGAGTTCTCCGGTTGATCATACCAAGAAAAGGGCGAAGCTGATGCCTAATTGTGTAAGGCTCTGACTTTGCACACTGATGGCACCCCCCCGCGGCGACCTGGTGTGACAGCTGCGGAGCAGTTGCCACCTGCTCTCGCAGCACATTCGGGAGGGAGGACGCCAGCACTGGTGTCCTGAGCAGAGAGCACCGAGGTACGCCTGGAGGTTCCCCTGGTGCAGGACCCCAAATGAGGCGATAGGGCGGAAGGCCTGGCGGAAGCCATTCCAAGCGGCCTGCGCTCGGTGGAACCTGTCTGCTAGCGGAATAGACTGCTCTTGGATGGATGGGATGGTTTGACCGCTCTGGCTGTTGCCTTGCAGCCTCAAAGTGCTGCGTAAAAGGTAGCATTCGGTCCGTTCGCTGCGTCACCGTTCGGCCGAGGTCAAGTCCGCCTGCGGCTGTGGGCGGTCTGCTGTTCCCCTCGCCCTGGTGGGAGGGGGGCGCGAGCTGGTGGTCGGACAGATTGGCTGTACGGGCCGGGCCTTGGTGGAGGTCTGCCGCATGACCCAAACCATCAGAGAGTCAAGGCTGATGCCAGGCTGTTCTTTCGTCGTCCTTGTCGCGCCCGTGACTAGTATGACCTCCTGGTGGACTAGTTAGCATTGTTCCCGTTGGGTCCTGGTCTTCGCCTTCGAAGTTGGGATCGTCATGATCGTCGAAGAAGTCAGGCCCTGGAGGGCCATGCGGCTGCGCGGAGTCACCCGGTGAGCCTGGTGGTTCGTATCTTCGGCGAGAGGCTCGGGTTGAATATTGCTGAGTTCGGCCCTGGAGTAGCTTGCCCGTCAGTCTGGCAGGCGAAGAGTTAACGATGGCGCACAGGATGCGACCCTGCGTCGCCAGTTGGCTACATCGACGAGACATGGTTGCACAACGTGCAGGTGCGCTCCCGCAGTGGCGAACTCATCAGCGTGATGGTTGAAAACATGAGCGATAAGGTGTGATGCGGCCTTCGTCAATGCCTTGCTCGCCAAGGCGGCTTTCTAATTGCTGGACTTTGAACAGATTCAGTTTGGCTTGGAACACTCGGTGAATCTGTTGCCACAAAGGTCCGCCGGGGGCCCCATGATTTGTGGTGGTTTCCCTTTTGAGAAGAACCTCGCATCCGTCGACAACGGCTTGGTTGTCTACGAACATGTAGACAGACCGCTCGACAGTAGCAAAAAGAAGGAGCGTGGCGAATGTATCCGCCCTTCGTGCGGTTTGGGCCAAATCGCGAACTCGAGCTAAGTGGTTAGCCGGCGATCCGACTCCGAAACCAGCCCTGGCGAAGAGCAGGAGGGTCTGGTGCGCGCAGGCAGCGTGAGTGGCGGCACATACACACCTGGCCCCGCTTCGTCAGTGCATCCTTCGAACTGATCGTCGCCAGAACCCTCTGGAGTGGGCCCCAGGACAGGTTGTGGGAGCTCGTCTAATGCAACTGTGGCCTGGAAGTCCAGCAATTGAGGGTCCTCCTCCAGCAGCCCGCCATTCTTAGTGCGCGGCGGAAGAGTACTCCATTGTTGGCCCGTGATCATAGCTCTCAAGGCGGTCCCTTCCGCCTCCCAACACGGGCATTTCCAGACCGTGTGTTCGGGGGGTTCCTCTTCTTTG